CAAACACAATGAAGCACATGGCACATCTCACAGGGGCACAATCATCACCTGCCAAGGAAAAAGCTGTGCCGTATACAGTGGCGCACACCTGTAACCCCAGCTACTTGGGAGGCTGAGGCAAGAAGATCCCAAGTTCAAGCCCAGCCCGGGGAACTTAGTGAGACCTCATCTCAAAATAAAGAATGGAAAGGGCTGGGGAAGCTCCGTGTCAGAGTGTATGCCTTGCATGGGCAAGGCCCTGGGCACTCTCCCACCCCAGCACCAGTAACAACAGCTGTGACACCGGCTTCAAACACGAAGGAAGGCTGAGTGGGGGAATCGCGGCATGGCCGCCGTCACAGCTGTCAGACCCCTGCCACGGAGCGGAGCGAGGGTGCCAAAGTGCTCATCCAGCAGCGGTCGTGGGCCAGACAGGGCTCATACCAGCCATGCCTCCATTCTGCAGCTCACCAGGGTTTGGGTGCACCGAATTCCCATCCTCTCTCCAGCCTCGGCTCACACAGGAGGAGGAAAGGACTCAGGGAGAACACTTCAGTGTTAATTCCTTATCTGCATTGAAAAATACTAATTTTCTTTTCATAAGCGAGGTCTTATGTTACAAATCAATTCAATGTAATATTTATAGGAGTGGACATTAGAACAGAAATTAAACACAGCCCGGCTGGCTTCACGGCTTTCTATTGGTACACACTGGTCCCGAGATTCATGGCCCCTTGCAGACGGATCACCCCTCGTGCTCTGGTCACTGTCGCCCTCCTGCCCGTTTCACATTTGCGGGTCAGTGTGTGCAGCGCCAGTGCCGACACCTGGGGAGGGTGGACAGAGAGCAAGCTTGGAGCAGGAACCCCTGGCCAGGTCAGGACCATGGCTACCTTAGGTCCTGCACAAATCTGTACGATGCCATAAAGCCCTTACTTTGCAACTGGTGACAGGACTCTCGAGTGCTAGGTCTTCTTGGCCCTGGCTTGAGGGTTGGGGCAGTGCCTGCAGCTCACTCTTCTGTGTGGGAAGGCTGGAGCCACAGGGCTCTCCCGCGGAACTGTGGGGTTTGGTGCCCCCTGCTGTCCCTTCCCTGCCAGCCCCTGAAGCCCAGAGAGCCGAGCTTCCCAGGGATTTCACTGCCAGACTGGATGGCAGGGAGGAGGCAAAGCGCACTGTGAAAGACGGAGCTGGGAGCAGGGGAGGGTCCGAGCAGAGCTGGCTTAGGAAAACTCAAGATGGGCTTCGGAAAGTAAGCAAGGGTTGCTGGAATGCAGTGAGCAGACATGAAGGCTCACCCTGAAGAGTCCCTGCAGGGCATTGGCTCTCTCTAGGCAGGTGAGTCACCGCCACTCAGCTGGAGACGCACTCAGGCTTGGGTCACAGTAGTCATAGACTGCATAACCCCGCAGATCTTTCCTGGAAAAGCCCGCCCTGCAGGCCTGAAAATGGCCCCGTGCTGGGCCAGGCCAGCGGGAGGAGGCCACGGCTTTGGTGACCACTGTTCAGGAAGCCCAAGAAGAGCTGGAGAGAAAGGCAGAGTTTGTGTTTGTAGTAAGGAGAGCTCTACTCGGAGCTTTAGCTCGGTCACACTCTGCCCACCCAGGCGGACTGCAGGCCACGTGATCAGAGCTGTCCAGAAGGCACCGCATGGCGCAGAGCAGCACCTTCGGGTCACGGCAACACTCAGCACAGAGTGGACGGCCCCAGGCCTCTGGATGCACTGGCTCAGAGCAGCCTGAGTCTGGAGGCACCAAGGTGAACCAGCCCCAGCACATACACCCGGCTCTTGGCGGCTCCGCGAGTCCTACCATGAAAGGAGACCAGGCAGTCCTGCCTGCAGATACCCTGTCAGCACAGCACCGCTGCCAGGGGCATTGGGGTCCACACACAAAGGCTGCCAGATCGGAAAAATATTGTGTGCGACAAGTGCTTAAGTAGAACTTCTTATGGTCCAGACACTGTTTTAATAGCCACAAAACACTAATACATTTAACTAAATGCTCAGGACAAACCCCACCAGCTAAGTGCTGTCACCCTCGATTACAAGGGGTAGACTGAGGCGCGGAGATGCTCAGTCTACCCAGGGTCATGCTGCCCTGGCGTGGCAGATTCCAGGTTTGAACGCCTTCTGTGTGGCTCCAAGTTCTGCCTCATGTGCCTGGCACACGTTTTTTGGGTTGTTCGCATTGTTCTGCCATGGAATCCCTGCTCCACACACTTTTAAGAACTGGTACTGCACTTCTCATGTAGATGCGGGGTTTGTTGAGAACTAAAACATGATCATTTCTCCCCAGTCCAAGGCCGGGTAGGGTCTGATTGCTTAATCCATGTAAAATTCCAGTATGGAAAAGGGTCTGATGTAAAACAACCCATGCCATCTTCCCAGGGCACTGCCAGAGTATGCCGTGCTTGCTGCCTCCAACCTCAGCTGCTTTAAAGAGGCCAGACTGGGCTCACAGGGACAGCAGCCTCCTTGGCCCGCTGGCCCTCTCACAAAAGCCCTGCATAACAAGTACAGACAGAACCCCCTCCCACATCAGAGCTGGCAGTGTCCTGCAGGTCCACAAGGGCCAGAGGCAGGCAGGGGAGGACCGGGAGGGCGAGGGATACACTGGTGTCCTTGCTTTGCCAGAACACACTCACACACCACTGCTCTGCACACACAGGCCTGTGTGTGTGACAAGGGCATGCACACAATGACGGGGTGTATGCCTGCCTGGTGACGCTCCATGCTGCACAACTAGTGCCTTGGTTTCCTTTAATGCCAGCTGCCTTCATCACAAAGGAATTTCGTTCCCACGAGATTCACTGGTCCCAAATGACTCGCTGCCCTGAGATCATGATAGTTCAAAATGCTGCAAATCCAGATTCCTTAAAATAAGGAAATCACCTGCTCCGGCTAGGGGAGGGAAGAAGGTATTTTCAAAGTGCACAGAGAGGAAGCGAGTTCCTCTGGAGAAGCAGCCAAATGCTGAGTGTCCTGAGCCACAGAGACAGCAGAGTCCCCGCACCCCGGCTTTTTGTGACCAAGTTTACGGATCTCCTTACAGCAGGGTCCCCAAGGTAATGGAACCAACGGCTCAGAGTGTGTCCTGCATGCAAGCCCTTGTGACCGTGAGGCACGGAGGACATGAAAATGAACCAGGCCTCACATCAAGCCTTCCTGGGTCTACATCCAGGCTCCACTGGGCCATGGGTCAGGTTCACATCCTTGAGCTCTCGCTTTCTCAGGGCCAGTGCCCGCCCAGGGGGACATCAGGGAGGTGACAGGTGAGCGGTGAGGGGAGCGCCCTTCCTGTGAGGGCAGGGTGGGTGGGAAGTGAGAAGGTGGTGATGTGGGGTGCCCACGCCAATCCCGTGAGGAACACAGTCACCGCGCACTGCAAACACGGACTGGCACAAACTTGACAGAAGAATAACGAGAGGCCAGCATTGGAAGTGGCATCATCCTGCGAGGTTACAGGTAATGGCAAGGGGGGTTCCACACTGAACCCCTCAGCCCAAGGCATGGTGTGGAGGGAGCTCAGGGTACTTGTGGAGCTTCTCCTGGGGCAGGGGCAACGCAGTACTCCTCTATCTGCCTGGTGAGGACACTGCCATCCCCACTGCCCAGATGAACACACTGAGACCACCAGGGCCAGTCACAGAGCTCATGTCGGTCGCTGGACACCGGCAGTGAGTCTGGGAACCCTGGACATGAGGACACGTGACAGCTAAGGCTGAGGAAGACAGAGGTGCCCGGACCAGCACCTGGGACATCGTGGAAGAAAGGAGTTGGCTTAAAGGGAGCATGGATTTGGCCAGGTAGCAGGAGGGAGAGGAGACAGTGAAGCACCAGGCAGCCTCACTGGGGGCCACCAGGCAGAGGGCAAGGAAAGCTCAGGAAGATGCTGGAGGGGCCGTCACCTCAGCGGGCCAGCGCACCTGTCACACCACACAGCTGCTCACAAAACTCTGGCGGCCTCTCCCCTGCCCTGCCCCAACCCGCATCTCAGCCTCCCTTCACTGCCGCACCCACACCCAGTGGTCCCCATGGTTGTGGCTCAGTTTGCCAGGCCTGTGGCCACGTGGCTGGCACCAGCAGCCTGAAGCAGAGGTGGCTTTCGCCTATCTCCTGGCCCAGCTGTGCTTCGCAGGACAGTCATGGCCACGGCCCTGCCCTTCACCAGCACCAGGCTGCCTGAAGTCCCAGAGTTGTGCAGGGAGAGATTGGGAGGCCCGCCCTGTAGGTGGCCCACGCCCTCCTCGACTGGGGCACAGGGCTGTGTCTGTGCAGGGAGGCGGGTGACAGTCACAGAGAAGGGAGAAAGAGATGGGCCTAAGACCTGTGGCTCAAACTGCATAACAAACATGATTTTAAGTACACAAAATTAAATTTGATGCAACGTTGATGCATTTCGTTCTGAGTGCTGAACAGGATTGTAACGCAAACTGTGATACAAAGCGATGTACCCGCTGCCCCCCCAGAGCTGTGGCCACGCCCACCATGGCACAGCGCGCCTCCTCTCTGTCGCCCCACTCATGTGTCCTTCCCAGTCCCTTACTCTGCTCCCTGAATTTTGGCCCATCTTCCCAACCACCTCTGCCCAGAGGGAGAGGAAGGAAAGCAGCTCCTCAGCCAGCCAATGTCTTCGCTGCTCCTGGAGACACCCAGTAGTGAGGACCCTGGCGAGGAGACGTCCCAGCTAAGGGTCCACACAGAACGCAGTGGACCAGGTTGGCCAGGGCCCCAGCTGGAGGACTAGCAAGGATGGCAGGAAGGGTGAGCAAACAGCCTCAGTGGTAAGGCCTGGGCTGGCGCCAGCCACACACTGCGACTCTGGGGACCTGGGCTCTTCTCCCCACCTCCCCATGGACTCCTGGCCGCTGTGCTACATGCATCTCCTTTCTCAGCAGAGGGACAGCGGGCCCCTGAACCGCTCCCCGACAGACTGGATCCCTGGACTTTATGTAGTACTCCTGGGTTCAGCCCAGTGGGGTCCCCGCGTGCCGCCCCTGTTCCCCAGCACAGCACCTACCCTCCTCCAGTCTCCTCTGTGGAAAATCGCCCCAGTGGGGACTTTGGTCACAGGCAAATTCTGCACAGAACACAGCCACACTTGGGAAGACCCACGGCGGGGTGGCCCTGGGCCAGTCACTTCCTCGGCTCCAGGTCTTCATCTTAAACTGAATGTGACAACAGCCTCCATGTCCTCAGCTCGAAGGAAAGCAAATGAGACCGAAGGAGAACAGAGGCAGGGGTGGTCCAGGGCCTCCTGCTGCCAGCGCATGGCGGGGATCCGCCCTTAACCAAGATCCCTTCACATGACGAGCGCTCAACAACCATGACCCATGCCCACACGCACCACTTGGGAGTTTGGGCGCTGAACAAGACGCAAAACCTCGCAGCCAGTCAGTGTTGGATTAACAAATGCCTCTGAGACAGGAGACTAGGGCGCGCAGAGCCAGCTGGGAAAGCAGACGCGATCGCGTACAAGACCCCGGACACATGCGCAGAGCAGTTCCCAAAGCCCTGCCGCGTCTTCTCGCGAGAATTCCAGCAGGTTTTCCGTAGACTGCCTGGCCAGCCGGCACCCTGAGGTGTGGGGTCCCCTGCAGCGCCTCTGGGCACCCGGATGCGGCTGTTCTGCCGGTTCCCTGGAGATCTGGACAGTGTCAAAGGACGCATTGCCTGCCCTGTGCCTCTGGGGTGTTCTCATCGCTCTTTTCTCTTTTACTCAACCCAACCTCGCTCTGTAGAGCCAGTTTCTCCCTCGCTCTTACTTACACTTTTTCAAATAAACGTTGCCATCGTTTCTTGTGTGTGTGTCTGTTTTTCAATTCTTTGATCGAGAGAAGAACCTGGAATCCAACTCCAAGGAGAGGTGAGCACCACAAAGCCGGTAACGTTCACTTGGCGAGCCGATTTTAGGAGACGCCCAGGAACGGTTACACAGGAGACAGGATCCCTGCGTGCGCCGGGGAGTGCAGGGACAGGGTCTGGGCTCGGATGAGAGCACAGCAGGCCCGGGCCGGGCAGAGCCTGACGTGCGGCTGCTTGGGCCACATGGGAGCAGTGAGGCGGCAAGGCTGCGTCCTGGGACGTGAGGGCTCCACTGCGTTCTGTAAGTGCCGTGTAAAGGGAGAGCATGCCCGACCCTGGGCGGCCATCTGATCTAAGATCAGTGGGGGATGCAGTCGAGTAGCACCAAGCCCAAAGGGCTGCTGGCAGCCATTCTGAGACAATGAGGCTCAGACGGAAAGGAATTGGATCTTGGGGAAACTGCTGAGCGGCTGGGTCAAGTCTGGCCTGAAGCTCAGGCTGACACTGGACATTCTTTAACCCAGTAGGGAAAAATCCTGTTATGTAAGCCAGTTATTCTCTGTGTTCAAATTTCTCGATATTCACAAAATGACTGCAAGCTCGTAGTGAGACTGAGCTCAGGAACGCATCTGGATTCAAAGATGGCAGCCTCCAGAGCGCTTCCTGAAGGTTTGGTTCAAGAACTACAGAGCAAAGCTCAGGAAATCAAAATGTGAAGTCCAGCGAGCAGGAAGCTGAGCTTCCACAGCCTGCTGTGAGTGAGGCCCCGACGGGTCCTTCCCAGTGAGGCGAGGACACCCCGGGGCCCTGACAGCGTCCACCCAGAGGCCAGTCCAAAACAGCCCTGACGCCCTGGCTCCACCTCAGCCTGTGTAACCACCCAGGACTCGAACTGCCCACCTGGCCGCTGCCCAGGACCTGGGTGCCCCCCATCCGGGGCCCGAGGTGACTCCAAGGCCATCCTTCCGCTCCTCTGGTCAGAGGTGGAGTGCCGTGACCGACATGATGCCAATGCAGGGGACACTCTCCTGCGATGAAGGGCAAACTGAGCAACACAGCAATGTGGATGGACTTCAGGAAATTAGGGGAAAAGACAAAGAATGGCTACTGTTAGGCCTCACAACAACAGCCCTCAAGCACGGCATTTTTAGCATCTTGGATGATTTTGATTTTGTTTGTTGTTGTTGTATCATACTGTGGGTTGAACCCAGGGCCTTTGCAGGGACCTACAACTCTCTTCTTTAATTTTCAGACAGGGTTTCTTGGTTGCCTAGGCTTGTCTCAAACCTGTGATCCTCCTGCCTCAGCCTCCACATCCAGATGACACTCAGCAATCTGACCTGAGGACATTATAAGGTCTCAGGACCAACCTGGGTTCCCTTCCCGCCCAAATGCATGTGGCCACAGAGGTAGTGGGGATCCGCATCTCTGAGCTGTCATCAGCCCCCACCCTCAGGGGAAGAAAGGTGCTGAGCCACTGCCCTCTCCTCGGTCCCCACGAGAGTTACCACTGCCTGCTCTGAGCCAGGCTGACTTTGTTCTCCAAGGCTGCTGGGTTCCCCCAAGCTCACTGCTTCCCTGAAAGTCGAGTGTGGGCTTAGCACATCCCCAGTGCTGAGAAAACAAAGACCTTTGATGTCTTTTTACAGCTGCATCTGCGATGTCCCCTGACTCCTCCCAGCACCCAGGAAGTGCCGCTTCTCCTGGCTCTGCAGGTGGGGGCCCCACGACACCCGGGAAAGCATGACCCCTACTCTCCCTGCTGCACCAGTGTGCTGCAGCATAAGCCTCGGCCCTGGGCTCTTGCGAGACATGAAGACCGCCGTCCTCAGGTGGGTTGGTGTGTTCCCCAGGGTGCGCAGTCATCACCACAAGTCTAGAGTGCTCACCCAGAGAGAATCTCAGCGCCTTCAGCGGCCGTCTCTGCCCTGAGGCTTCCGCTCCTCTCTCCATGGGTGTGGTGTGTGGACACTTGTAGAACCATGCAGTATGTGGTGTTCTTTTGTGATCAGCTTCTTTCGCTGAGTGGTCTGACTCATCCATAGCAAGTAGTAACACTTCACCCCTTTTCCTGTCTGCATACTACTCCACTGTGGGGATGGAGCACTTGCTGTTTGTCTGCTCTCCCATCCAGGGACTCTTGGCTTTCACCATGTGGCTGCCATGAATAACGCTGCTATGAACACGAGTGCAAGCATCTGCGTGGATAAGTTTACAATTTCCAGGGGAACCCCAAGAGCCCCTATGTGCTCCAGACCCAGCTAAGCCCCGGAGGACCACTTGACAGCTGAGGTTCTGGACTCCCACCATGAACCTGAGGCTTTGCCCAGCTCCCTCCGCCCACCTGCACACCTGTTACATCTGCAGGGACGGCTGCCAAAGTTCTGCGCTGTCCCCAGCCCCTACTCCTTCAGGGTGGCCCTAGAGGGAGGTGGTGAGCTCGTGAGCTCGCTGCCTCTGGAGGGTAAACCGAGTCCCTGCCAGTTCTCTGAGCCCCTCCCCACTCACCCCACCTTGGCCTCCCTCCCCACTGCCATCCTCAGGCCCTGCAGAAGCCAGCAAGCAGCTGCCCAGCCCTGGGTCGCTCTGGACGATTCTGAGGTGCAGCCCCTGTTGGTGGTTTCCTTGCCGTGCAACCATTTGTTGATTCTTGGTATTATTTCTTGTGCAACCGGGATTCTGTTCAGAAAATCTGCCTATGACTACATCTTAAAGTTTTACCTATTTTGTCTTCCAGCAGATGGTTTCAAAATATAGAAATATTTATATTTTTGAATCATTTTTATTTTAGTTTAGAGCATGGTGAGATATGGATCCAGGTTCAATCTCTGGTATGGGGAAAGCCAGTTTTCCCAGCACCATTTCTTAAAGAGACTGCCTTCCCTCCAGTATCAGTATTTGGCCCCTTTGTCAAAGATCAGGTAGCTGAGTTGTTTTTTCATCCTCTATTCCACTGATCCATGAGTCTATTTTTTTGCCAATACCGTGCTGGGGTTTTTTCAATCATTGTAACTCTGCAGTATAACTCTAAGTCCAAGATTGTGGTGCTCCCTACCTTGCCCTTGTTCAGAATTGCTTTTGCTATCCTAGGTCCCTTCTGGTTCTGTATGAATTTTAGGATTGCTTTCTCTAGTTCTGAGAGAAATTCTATTGGTATTTTGGTTAGGACTGTGTTAAATCTGTAGAAAAGTTTCGGAAGTGTTAGTTCTGCCTGTCCAAGAACAGAGATACTTTTCCATTTTCTGATATCCCCTTCAGTCTCTTTTTTCAGAGTTTTGTACTTTTCATTGTAGAAACCAACCTCTAACTTCCTTATTTGGGTTAATTCCTAAGATATTTCATTTTTATTGATGCTGTTGTGAAAGGTATTATTTCCCTGATTTCTCTGTCAGTGTGTTAATTTACTTGTGTATAGGAACACTATTGATTTTTGAGTGTTGACTTTGTATCCTGCTATGCTACTGAATTTGGTTATTAATTCTAGGAGTATTTTGGCAGAATTTTGGGGTCTTCAGTATAAAGCATGTTATCTGCAAATAATACTAATTTAACTTCTTCCTTTCCTATCCATATACCTTTTATTTCTTTCACATCCCTAACTGATCCAGCTAATGTTTTGATGACTAAACGGGTTTCGTGATAGCAGACATCCTTTTCTTACTCCTGATTTCAGCTTCTCTCCATTTAATATGATTTTGTCACTGGTTTGTCATAGATAGCTTTTATCAGATTGAAATAAAGACCTTATCTACCTATTTTCTTCAGGGATTTTTATCATGAATGGATGTTGGATTTTGTCAAATGCTTTTTCTGTGTTCGTTGAGACTATCATGTGATTTTTGTTCTTGCTTCCGTTAATGTGGTATATTACAGTTCTTTATTCTCATATATTGAACCAGCCCTGCATCCTTGGCATGAATCCTACTTGGTCATGGTATATAATATTCTTGATGATTTACTGCATTCTGTTTGCCGGCCTCTTATTGGGGATTTCTGCATCTATGTTCATTAAGGAGATTGGCCTGCATTTCTCTTTTTCAGTTGGGTCCTTTTCTGGTTTTGGAATCAGGGTAATGTTCACTTCCAGGGATGACTTTGGGACTACTGCCTCCCTTTCAATTTCATTAGAGTTTGAGGAGTACTGGTGTTAGATCTCTAAAGTTCTTGTAAAATTTAGCAGTGAACCCATCGGGACCTGGGCTTGTCTTGGTTGGTAGCTTGTTTTTTATTTTTTAATTACTTCTTCAACTTCACTAATTGACATTGGATTATACTGGATTTTTATATCTTCTTGATTCAGATTTGGTCGCTCATATGGTATCCAGGAATCTGTCCATTTCTTCTGAATTTTCAATTTTATTAAAGTACAATTTCTCAAAGTAGTGAGTGATTATCTGGATTTCACCAAAATCCATTTTGATTCATCTTTTTCACTTCTAATTGCATAGATTTGAGTCTTTTCTTTCCTTATTTTGATAAGTTTGGTTAAGGTTTTGTCTATTTTGTTTATTCTTATATAGAATTAACTCTTTGATTCTTTGATTCTATTTTTAGTCTCAGTTTCGTTAATTTATATTCTAATCTTTATAATTTATTTCTTCAAAATACCTTTGGATTTGGATTGTTCTTTGTTTTTACAGGATTTTC